AAGACTTTTACAGCTTTCTAGAAAAACACACATGGAATGAACCGTCCTGTAAACGCGTCTGTCGTCCTTCGTCCTGCTAATAAATATACGCTCGATGTACCTGTCAATAAAGTTTTTTTATGGTAACTTCCCGGGCTTCCTTCCTCGTCAGACAGCTACAGGTTTAATCATTTTATCGTCATAAAAACCTCGATGTACCTGTCGATAAAGTTTTTTTATGGTAATTTCCCGGGCTTCCTTCCTCGTCAGACAGCTACCAGGTTTAATCATTTTATCGTCATAAAAACCTAATGCGCTAAAAAAATGATGTGAAATGTAAAAATGGTGGCGCTAGAACATTAATGTATAAATAGTTATAAAATAAATATTCCTGTATCACATTGTCTGTAGGGTTTTCTCTGTCACTTTAACGGTGGGTTCTGCTGAAGGACTCATGCATTACGTTACTGCACAACAGCTGCTTTTAGGATAACCCAAAAAACTCTTCATTCCTCCAGCAGCTCCACCTGTAACCCAACACTCTCCCCCTCTGATGAGATCAACTATGTTGGCAAAACCCGGTGCAAAATCAAGAGGTTTGTAAAAAAAAAAAGACATTCCCTTATTTCTATCATACTTAAAAACTAATTCATGTTTTTTAAAAATCAAAATCCTTCAGCTTTTCTCACGGCGGTTACTTATCCTTTCCTGAACCATTTCAAAACATACATACAGGGCACATCAACAGGGACACCATAAATAAGAATAAGGGCACGGTAGAGGTGGGGATTTCAGAGTGATGCTGCCACTTTTAAGCCTCCGGGATAAAACAAGATTATTTTTCCGTCGTTTCCCTCCCTCCTCCTCTCCCGCCTGGCAGCAACGCACCGTCCATCGGGAAAAGAGACGAGGAGGTGGAGGGGGAGCAAGTGGAGGTACAGTAATGATGTTGTACAATAGTAGTAATAGTAGAAGAAGAAGGAGGGTAGGGGGGGTGTGGTGTTGCCCTGTAACAGCATGCTAGTCTTGGCTGATTTTTTTTAATCTAAGTCTTTTTGATCGGTGAGGGAGAGATGGTTTCGAATAAAGCAAGCGCTCCCGAGAACAACATTGATCCCATATCGGTTATTCCTCTTCTTCTTCTTCCTCTTCTTGTTCTACACCAGCTGGTATCCGGAGCCGGACGTCTGGTCGTACTCTATTGTGTACTGGGAGGTCCAGTCCACCGCCACGGGCCGGATCAGGCCGCAGCAGCGCACCTCGAAGAAATCTATCAGGTTCCTGATGCATCCGTGACTAGAGGGAGAGAGAGAGAGAGAGAGAGAGAGAGAGTGAGAGAGAGAGAGAGAGAGTGGAAAAAACATCATATTAATAAAGAAATAGCACCAAAAAATGTTAAGATTTGCTGAGGGGTTAATTAGTGGTGTTCCCCTTTTCCCCTTTCCTGTAGTGTGTCCTATAGGTTTTAGTGCATGTAAATGGTCTGAAAAGACTTAAGTTTCTATCCCACACACTCTCCCCCTGCCTGAAACGCCTCCATTCGAGCCAGAAAGCCGACCAATCAGAGCACACTGGGCTCTGGTTTCAGACAGAGGGTGAAAAGAGGTGCTGCAGCACAGACAGTATGAGAACAATAAAGAGCTTTTTGAACATTAAAGCAGGAGACATGTCCCAGTAGAGACACTACATACTGATATACACCTGAACATCAGCAGGAGAGGACTCTTTAAAGTAGAGACACTACATAGATATACACCTGAACATCAGCAGGAGAGGACTCTTTAAAGTAGAGACACTACATACTGATATACACCTGAACATCAGCAGGAGAGGACTCTTTAAAGTAGAGACACTACATACTGATATACACCTGAACATCAGCAGGAGAGGACTCTTTAAAGTAGAGACACTACATACTGATATACACCTGAACATCAGCAGGTTATATATTATATATATATATTCTAATGCATCAAAAATAACTTACTTGAAGGGGCTTTCGATGGAAGTGGCTGTGACTTTAAAGTGCTTGTATCTCCGTGCGTTCATCCTCTCGTTGGTGGTGATTCCCAGAGCTGCGATCTGAAGGAGGAGAAAGCAGAGACATTTAGCAGCGTAGCATCTGTTGGGTTTTATATACATGTAGATCTGTCATTATAACTACAAATCTATGCCTGCGTTTTAAAAGTTCAACAGAAAATCTCATTCTTGAGTCTGTTACTTCAACCGATATATTCCTGCACTTTAACTTTATCTGCATATTGAAGTATGAATGCTAGTTGTTTGTATGTTGTCTCCGCCTGAATGAATTTAAATCCAAAATGTAGATCCAGACCTGGTAGAGTTGACACATGATGAGCACGGCGACCCACATGAAGTGGAAAATGCTGTTGAGGAACATCCAGAACATCCAAGGAGAGCAAGAGGCGATCTGAGTCAGGTAGAGCCAGAAGCCATCTTTAGCGTAGCTGGTGGCGCAGTGGATCCTCCAGTCTGAGGACACCAGAGGAGAGAAAAGGAGTGAAGAGGAGAAAACACGACTGAAAAGAGGGAGAGAAATGTTTGTACTCACAGGAAATGCAGCCGTATATCATCCAGCAGATCATTAAGAGCAGGAAAAACAGATAACCCATGAAGTAGCGGTGATTTCCACTTCCTGTAGAGGAGAAAACAAAAAGGGTTTCTGTTATAGAAAGAACGTGTATTCATCATTTACTTTGCAACCTCTTGACTTTTGATCAAGCAACATAAGATCAAGCCCTCATCACAACGAAGACATTAAAGTAGAACAAAGGAAATAATAGAAACAAAGGAAGGAAGCCGCGACAATATTTCAAAACTTCTTAAGAACTGCAGGGCTTGTTTGAACAACACCTGGTCACACACACACACACACACACACACACACACACACACACACACACACACACACACANTAAAAAAAGTTATACAGAGCGAGATTTATGTACAGGTGCACATTCTCAACCGTCCATCCTGCTGCTGCGGACAGGAAGTAATGGGGGGGGTTAAAAAGGCCCTTTTTAACCCCCCCCATTACTTCCTGTCCGCAGCAGCAGGATGGACGGTTGAGAATGTGCACCTGTACATAAATCTCGCTCTGTATAACTTTTTTTATTTTCGTCAGTGTTAGTTTCGAGGTGCTCCTGGATTATTTTTTTACTTTGTTTTCTAGTTGCCAGCACTGTGAACCCGGACATGTTGAGAACTCCAAAAGTGTTTATGATAGAAATGTATAGTACGGGTCCTAAGCACATAGAAACTGATGGATGCTAACTTGCATATGTTGTGCAATTTGTATAATTGGCATCTACTAACATATTCAGACAATAGCTAATGACTTGGTTTTTGGACGTTATTCAGGATTTTAAGTCCATTTCTGACATTTACAGGATCAAAAATGGCAGTTTTAACCAAAAGTGGCCATATTTGTACTCTCCAGGGACTGATTTTGACTAGCATGTGCAGTGTTGCGACCATTGGATATAGAGAACTCACATTTTTAGCAATATGTCGAATCCAAATGATCCAGAATGTATAAAAATCAGCCCATAGAGTAAAAATAAGACTACTTTCTGGTTAAAGCTGCCATTTATGGTCCTGGAAATGTAAGAAATGGATTCAACATCCTCGGTAACCAATCCAAAATTGTCCAAATCAGCGAAGCCATTTTTGAACTATTGTCTGCATATGCTAATTAACGCCACTTGTGCTAATTAGGCAAATTGCCCAACATATGCTAGTTAGCACCAGGCAGTTTAGTTTCTATGTCCTGTTGACCCGTACTCTACATTTCTATCATTAAACTTTGGAGTATCAACGTTTCCGTGATCACAACCGGACTCTATGAGCTGGTCAAAAGGGGATTTCTTCAAACCAAACTGAGAGAAGAAGAAGAAGTGACTGTATGGCTTTTAGTGACGTCCCACACTGCTGTCTATAGGCATTTCCCCCCCCCCTGCCGAAAATCACTGCATGTTCGACCCCCCAGCCCACAATCATCGCCATGGTGACAGCCCGGCGAGCCACGTGTCTGTATATAGTGAATGTTAAGTATTTGCAAGTACTTTTCTGCATACCGTTCATTTTATGTCTCGTTTTCTTTTTAAAAATCTCAAATCCAGTGTTTCTTAGTGGGAATATTTTTTTTTCTTCCAGCACTCATGTACAAGTGTGTGATATATTTGAATGTCCCATGCTTGTGTAGTCATCCTTGAAGGGGGTTTTTATTTTAAAATCCCTACTTTATATATATATCGCTGGGTTTGTTACACCACTGGATGTACAAATTGTAAAGCAAAGACACTAGAGAACTAAGGCAGACGCCGATTCCTTTTTTGTGTTGGTTTTCTAAAAAGCTGTGTTTCATGCAATAGTTTTAAGTATAAAAGGGAGGTTATATTACATTAAGGCCTCCGGACATTATTGGGCCTCATGTTTGCATCATCAGACGGAGGATTATTCATCATTTCACTCTGGCTAACCCAACACTGATGTCATTTCTGAGCTGGTTTATGTGTGCTTTAAAGTTTCAAGGGTCATGGTTTCATATCAGAATCAGTAACGGACCACATGGGTTGTTGTGATGCCTCTTTAGTGACGGGAGGAAAACGCGGGCTTGTTTTTGTTTGCTTCCGGGCAGAGTTCAGCACTCTCATCCAGGACACAAACTCAGTCCTCACTAGTTCTTCCAGCAGCCTGAAAACTCTGTTCGTCCCCCCCTCTCACCCGTCATGTGGGGATAATAAAAATCAAGTAAAAAAAAAAAGCACATAATCATCTCCAGTGCCTCTCTGCCCACCTTCAGACATCACTGTAACTCCGCTTCAGATGTAAACATATGGGCATGGTTCAGTTTTAATGGCTTTAATAATAAAATACAGTCAAATGTGTTGTTTGGTAATGTTTTTATTCGTGTCATGAGCACCTAAGGGAGGAAACACAAACTCAGGATCTTCTCTTCACCGAGCGTGGACCAGAGCTCCGGCTCCCTGACCGTAACCGAAGCCTTTAGGTCCGAAGTTCTTAGCGTAACAAGCTGCAGAGGAAACGGAGGATATAAATAAACAACGACAAACTGCACTTTGTTTCCTTACATTCAAAACTAGTAAAACATTCAAAGTGTGTGTATTCAAAGGAAGCCTATACACCAACATTGAAACACATGGACACATACTGCGATTTAAAAAAGCGAAAATAAAATCGGAGCTGACAGAAAATGCTCTAATTTAGTTTAATACACACAGTTCAGCTCGCACACTGCACACTGCTGCAAGGGTTGTTTCAGAGGATAGAAAGACACATTAACAAGCTGCAGACTATTGTTCCAAAACGGTTTCCTTACATTCACAACTAGTTCAAAATGTGTGTATTTATAGGAAGACTTGCCGGCAGTAGCCTACACACCAGGGATGTCCAAACATCTTTCCTTGAGGGTCACATACAGACAGTTATACGAAGGGCTGGGCCCCTCGCTAGAGTAGAGGTACATATTTCCTCATAAGTTAGCAAAATAAATCAAATGAAGGTTATTTTTTCTTGCATTAGGAAAGGACCAGCTTTCCATTAATAGGCTTTCTTTTATTTTGTGACAAAAAGTGTTGGCAGCTTTAAAGGGGACCTATCATGCAAAATGCACTTTTGTACGTCTTTTCTACATGAACATGTGTCCCCGGTGTTCCAGGGAACTCACCAAGTGTCAGAAAACACAACCCTCTCTTTTCCTCCATACCCAAATCTCTTAAAAAGGGGCTGCAACGGATCTGATACAGACTGATCCAGATTTGAACACTTCTATGATGTGACAGAAGTGGCGCTACGGCTATTGGGCCAACTCCACCAATCAGGAGGAGACAGCCACGGACATTGCTGTTAGAAAGCGCTGGAGACGCTGTAGTACATATGCCAGGCCTGTAGGTGGTGCTGTTCTCACAGAATCAGCCCATGATGCAAAGACAGGGTTAAATTGAGCGAAATGAGGAATGGCTAAAATGCATGATCTGTTTGGTATTTTGAAAAATGAAAAGTATAAATATGCCTTATATAGGTATGGTCCTACACTATATTATTCAAATATAGCATGATAGGTCCACTTTAATGGACTGAACTTTGGGCTTAACACATTAATACTGTAATATGTTTACATTTATATTGAAGAAGTACAATATAAGTTGAGCACATGTTTCAGGTGTGTTATAGTTTAAAGGTCCCATGTCATGCTTTTCTGGTTCTCACCCGT